TATATATTTTTTTATTCTTATCCCTTGCAATCTTTCTTCTTCATTAATTTTCCTAATTAATATCTCCATCACTATCAAAAATATCAAAGGGAAAACAAAGGGATTTTTTTTTTTTTTTTTGGTAAAGATACACTAGAAAATAGAATTGCACTGCAATATGTTAGCAAGTGTTGTCTGAAGACACCCAGCTATGAAGAGATGCTTACTATGGCAGAGAGAAAGGGCTGGAAACTATGCTACATTGTTCCAAAAATACTAGACTTTTTTGTTCTCAATATGTTGGCTATGCAGCTGCAGCCATGTGAGAACATCATGCCCCTTTCTTCTGCTAGGATAGGTAGCCCAAGCAACATGGATTCCTGTTCTTCCCCAACTGTTGACATCTGTTGTACAGAAGCAAAATTCTTAGCTAACTTATTTGATTCTCACTATTTCTAATTTGTCTTTTACATCAATGAGTTTATGTTTCTTCTCAAAAGTTTTTGAAGTCTTTCATTAAGAACAACTGCTAGTACCTTGTAGTAGAATTCAAAGATATAGCCATGTTAGTCTGTAGAATCAGTACGTAGAGAGATCTTGTAGCACCTTTGAGACTAACTGAAAAAAAGAAGTTGGCAGCATGAGCTTTCATAGACTTCAGTCTACTTCCTCAGATGCTTTTGGTGGAGTGGAAGCCAGGGACAGATATATATATGCCCTTGGTGTGTGAGAATGTTAATTCAAATTTAAAATCCTTTGTGTATGGAAATGAAATAGAAGTCCAGTTTTAATTATGGTTGTTTGTGGACAAAGACATAGCCATTGGATTTGGAAATGAGGTGGCAAAATGAGTTTGGCCTTGGAAACTTGCCTGTAGATGGGGAGAATAGATGAGTGTAGGATGCCCCCATGAGAATGGGGTCAGGTAGTGTTGAAATGTGTGTAGTGAGCCAAGAAGCTATTGTCCCTGTTCAGTCCATTGCTGAGGGACTGCAGTTTATGAATGAATTCCAATTCTGCTGTTTCTCTTTCCAATCTACCTTTGTAGTTCTTTTGTTCAAGGACAGGTTTCTGAGATCTGAGATGGAATGCCCAGGGAGATTGAAATGTTCAGCCACCGTTTTTGGTGCATTCCCATTCCTAGTATCTGATTTACGTCCATTTATCCTCTGGTGCAGGGACTGGCCTATTTGCCCAATGTAGAGTGCTGATGGGCCTTGATGATATAACATGGCATAAATCACATTGGATTATGAGCACAAGAAGGTCCCCCTAATATTGTGTGTGATACCATTAGGTCTTGTGATGACATTTCCTGGATAAATGTGCGGGGAGAGTTGGTATCTTGGTTTGCAGCAAGGCTTAGTATCTGTGTCCCCATCTGTGTCATGTGTCTTCCTGTGGGTGAGTACATGTTTGAGGTTTGGAGGCTGACTGTAGCCAAGTAAAGGTCTGCCACCAAGAACCCTTGAAAGAGTGACATTATTGTCCAGAATGGGTTATAATTCATTGATGATGCACCTCAGTGGTCCCAGTTGGGAGCTGTATGTGACCACGAGTGCAGTTCTGTCATTTTCCCTCTTCAATTTATTCTGTAATAGATCAGTCCTGGGTACACGTCTTGCCTTGTTTATTTGTTTTTTTACTTCATGTGGTGGGTATTGTAGTTTGAGGAATGCTTGTTATAATTCCTTGAGTTTGGCATCCCTGTGGATCTGAGTAGATGTTATTGTATTGGCTGTAGACTGGATCTGGTGATGTGTTCAGGGTGAAAACTGGAGGCATGTATGTATGTGTAGTGGTCTATGGGTTTGTGATATAGTGTGGTGCTTAGATGTCCATTTTGCAGCTGCACTTTGGTGTCCAGAAAGTAGACTTGTTCTGTAGATAGTTCCAGGCTGAGGTTGATGGTGGGGTGGAAGTTGTTGAAACTCTGGTGAAACGTCTTGAGTGAGTCTTCTCTATGAGTCCAGATTATGAAGATATCATCAATGTACCTCAGGTGAAAGAGCAGTTTCTGGGTTCAGGAGTTAAGGAAGTGTTGTTCTAGATCAGGCATGAAGATATTGACATATTGTGGTGCCATGCGCATGCCCATGGCGGTGCCATTAACTTGAAGGTATATGTTATTACCAAAGGTGAAGTAATTGTGTGTGAAAACAGACTGACAGAACTTGGTGGCTAGGTCTGACAAATTCCCATCTGGAATGATGTTCCTGACTGCTTGTATTACATCTTTGTGCAAGATGTTGTTGTGCAGGGATTCCACATCCATAGTAGCTAAGATGCTGTTTGGTCCATCAAAAGCATCTGAGAAAGTACACTGAAATCTATGAAAGCTCATGCTGCCAACTTCTTTCTTTCATTTAATCTCAAAGGTGCTACAAGATCTCTCTACATACTGATTCTACAGCCTAACATGGCTATATCTTTGAATTCTACTACAAGGTACTAGCAATTGTTCTTAATGAAAGACAATCAACAAGATCTCTCTTGATGCTAGTACCTTGGTAATATTTCCTGAGCACAACTTTTTCCACATAAGTATATATAAATATAAATATAAACTATGAATGCAACCACATAGAAATAATGTATATTGTGTTTTGAGAAAGTTAAATATGTAAGTCTATATCCACTTGAAACCACAACTGCGGAAATGCACAAGATATATTAGCTGAATAGTAATTTAGACTGCAATCCTCTACACATTTACCTGGGAGTAAGCTCCCCTGAATGTCATTACTTACTTACTTATTCTATTCAGAAGAATAGAGATGGAAAAGATGTAATATTAGCCAGGATTCTAGAGTGAAACCAATGCCCTGCACTATCTTATTGATGTAATTCAACCCATCATTTAATCAATAATAGGTTCCCCAAGTAACTCAAAGTTATTGTGAAAGATACAATCTCTAAAACACAATAATTTCAGAATGCCCACTAAAATTTTCATGAGCCTTAATCATAAAGCTTTCATAGCCTGTAGCCTATGAGTGAGAAGAATATTTGAATATATTCCTCCCCCAAATGGTTAAAAATATATTTCTTGAACTTAGAGAAAGCTTGACAAGAAAAATCCTGGGCTGGTGGGAATCTTTGCAGTTTAGGTCTATATAAACATTATATTCTGCACAGAAAATGATGTAGTTGGGGTCTTATTCTACTTGAAATACACATGTGGTTGTTTTGTGCAGAAAACAGCATTTCCTGTGCAGGAAACAGTATTTTTTTTCTGCACCAAAAATAGAATCACTATTTTCTACATAGAAAATGTTTTCTGCACAAAACAACCAAGATGCGAATTTTGTGCAGAATATATCCTGAATTGTGAAAACTGTACATTTTTAATGCTTTTTTTTTTTTTTTTTTTTTGCATCAGGAATTAAATTGTTAAATTTACTTGTCCGTTCATTTGAAAAGAAAATTAGTGAAGTATGACATCCCAGCTGTAGCCCACTTCTTCAGATTCCAGAAGAAGAACTAGGAAAACATGTTGAGTTTTGAACTTCTAAAATGCCTAACATGAATCTCAAAAAGAAACCAGCAGACATCAAGACTATCCTTTATAGCTAGAAGTTTTTCTTCCTTACTATTGGTAGACTGCCTAAGACCATGATCTCATCCTATAATTTCTAGGTTATTTTTTTCACAGTACACTTAAGAAGCCTCCCATTATCAGTTCTCTTATTTTAAAACCAAATTTCATTATGGGATTCTCTTCTTGAAATATCCAGTTGTTGTTGTTGCTGTGTGCCTTCATGCTGTTTCTGATGTATGGCAACCCTAAGGTGAACCTATCACAGGGTTTTCTTGGCAAGATTTATTCAGAGGGGGATTGCTTTTTCCTTCCTCTGAGCCTGAGAGAGTGGATTTCCATGGCTGAGTGGGGATTGGAACCCTGGCCTCCAGAGTCATAGTCCAGTGTGCAAACCACAACACTATACTAGCTCTCTGAAATACCCATGGTATCTCTAATATACAAATGACAGCTTTATACTGTCATATCGCTAGCTGGAAAAACACCAGATGGAAAATTGGTTTCCTCAATGTTGAGAACCCCTGACAGGGAAAATATTGGACAGATGAGAATCTTTGTAAATTGGGACTTCTGCTCAAAAATGCACATGACTTTTTGGAGCAGAAAAATTATATTTTCTGCACAGAAAACAAGTTTCCTATGCAGAAAATATGGTTTTCTGTGCAAAAAATATTTTTTACTGCCAGGAAAATGTCTTTTTCTGTCCTTAAATCCACGTTTATGGGGGTGGGGTTGTTTTGTTTTGTGGGAGATTTTTTATAGAACACAGTGCAAACTGTGAATAGTTCTTGAAAACTGCTCAGTTTTGCAGCAGCAAGGAAAATGGTTAAAATTATTCATTCTTACCTGAACTGAGTAGCTATGGTACAAAACACAGTGCAGAAATAACCTAGTTTGAGACCGTTTAACTGCCCTAGCTCAGTGCTAGGGAATCTTGGAAATTTTAGTTTATTGTGGCAGCAGAACTCTCTGGCAGAGAAGGCTCAATGTTTCACAAAACTACAGTTCCCAGAATTCACTAGCATTAAGTCAGGGCAGTTAAAATGATCTCAAACTGGATTATGTCTGCAGTGTACTTTGACTCCATTGCTTAGTATCAGTTAATTGACTGAAAAAATAAACTGGGATCACATCCTGAGTTATTTTCTTGGTTTGTTTCAGCTCTAAGAGTGCACTGTACCACATCAGGCTGTTAGCAATATGTTCCTTTTTGATAAACACAAAAATGCATTGAACTGTGTTCCATTTTCAATTACCCAATGTTGTTAGTCATTTCTCACTTCCCTTCCATCCAACTAGTAGGCTAATTATTACTGGAATGTTCTGAACATTGTTGTGAAATGTTCAGCTTTCATTCAATATTCTGATAAACAATTGAATGTTTCCCTACAGGGAGAGGGGAAATCAGTATTTGGTGTTATTATTCATATGTTTCAAAGGATTTAACTTTGTCATTTCTATCAATAGGTAAGAAATGCCACACTGTTTTGTAAGTCCAGGATTTGCAGGCATATAAAATACAGATTCAATGTTAAATGTTGTCATGTTTCAAAGTTCAGTTGATCTTTCTATAATATTCAAGAGACAAACTTGATCTTTGTGCTGGAGAATTGCCATTGTTCTTGCTACACACTACCTGTAGGACCCCAAAAGGCAGATACTACTAAAAAAAATCAATTGTTTCTTGGCAGCACTTAAACCCTGAGCTGTGCTCAGGCTTTGCTGGATAATTCCATATATCAGAGCAATTAAAATGCCTCCAGCTGTCTTAGGCATCAGCATCATTCTTTGCCTCTTGTCCCACCAATGAATCCTAATCCCATTTACTGGCTTCAAGAGATAGTTTGGTTTTGCTAGTTCTCCAGGGCATGATTGATTTCATTGGATGGGATGCCCAGAAGAATGATTCACTATCTTAACAAAATGATATATAGAAATCACAATGGCTGTGTTCTCTTATCATGATACATCTTGAATTCATGGTGTACATAAACAGTGTACACACTGTACACACACAGCCCAATTGCTCCTTCCTTCACATGGAGAAATGAACCACAAAACAGCAGTGAGGTGTATTTCCCAATTAGAAATGATTTAGAGAGGCACACAAAAACACATACACACACAGAGAGAGACAGAGCATAATTTTGATGTATTCCTCTGTTATTTACTTTTTTAAAAAACGAGGAAATTGCTAATTGCATAAATAATGTTAAGGCTAATTCAATTCTAAGATCCTCTCCTCTGTGTCCCATCAGTCAGGGCAATATGCTGTGGAAGGCACAGGAGAAGGCCTTCTCACCTTTGGCACCCCACATATGAAACTCTCCCTTGGAGGTTCAATTGGTGCCAACATTGCTGTTGTTTAGGTGCCAAATGAAAACATGGTTGTTCACTAAAAACGTTTAGAGCCTAACTAGTTTCACAAAAACCTTTGCATGTACATACCTTTAATTTGTTCCAAACTATTTCAACTCATTTAATCTGTCTTTTTAACTTGCCAAATAATTTAATATGTTTTTAACTTTTTAAAAATCTTTTTTTACATGTTGTCTCCCTTATCCAAAATGCTTGGGACCAGATATGTTTTGGATTTTTTTTTTCATTTTGAAATACTTACATTTCCATATACATAAATGTATGTCTTGGAGATGGGACTGATGTCTCAACATTAAATTAATTTATGTTTCCTATACACCTTATATGCATGGCCTGAAAGTAATTTTATACAATATTTTAAATAATTTTGTGCATGAAACAAACTTTGTGTGCACTGAAATATCAGAAAGCAAAAGTGTCACTATTTCAGCCAAGTTTTGGTTTTGTGAATATTTTGAATTTCAGGATTCCAGATAAGGGAGACTCAACCTGTAGTATTCACACTGTTTAAAATTTGTCAGAATGGTTTTATTGTATGCTGCCTTGAGATCTCTGGATAGAGGGCAGGATATAAACATTTTAATGATAAATAAGTTAATTTAGGATTACAACCTAAAAGGAACCCTAGTGTGAACATGAAAGATCCACAATTAGCTCTTCTATGTTTTTGGGGTATATGTTAGTTTGTTCACAAGCAAGCATGAGGGCTGGTTCCTGATTGGACTGAGGATGTGGCACTGTAGGGAGTAAGTTTAAACCTTGGAGAATTTCAAACCCACCCACTCCCTATATTTTTTTAAATTAAAGCTGCTTTTAGCCAATGGGCACTGGAAAGTCAAGCACAATGCAAGTTTCTGTATTTTCTCCTGCTGAAGCACCTTAGGCCTGTTTGAATGGGAGGGGAAAATGTTGATCCAAGATTAACTCTCTTCCTGGTAGAACTATGGATACAATTTGAACTGTTTTCTCTTCTCTGCCCCCCCCCTGCACTCACAAAGGGTGTGTGTGTGAGGAAACAAAAGGAGGAACATGCATAGATCCCGTATGTCACATATAGTTTGGCCCTGAGCCATGCCTCTATTGATTGTCAAAGAACAATTAGGATGTAACTAATCCTATAGCTAGAAGTAATCAAACCAATATCTTGAAAGGCTGTGTGCACATATTGGCTTTCATAGCGAGAGCATCCTAATGAAGAACAAGTCCCTTTACTAATATTTCTTTGTTCTGTAAGCACAAACAGTGTGTGCTGATGATCATCATTTGTCTTAGAAGAATAGGGAACTTGTTGATAAAAAAAGATGAAAAGGCTTCTATCTTTTGAAACCAGATGAGAGTAAACCTGTACACCCCCAATCTCCAGCCCTGTTTCCAGTTATACAACCTGTCCTCTTTTCAGTTACCTGTGTGTAATATTTCAACTTCTAGAAGCTTATATTAAGATCCCCCCTTCAAAAAAAGGTCTATAATTTTAAAATCATGCACTATTACTTACACATGGAGTGGCTTCTCTCTTGTCTTTCTTTCTCCAACCTCCTCACTTCCTTCAGTTTATGCTGTTTTTCAGACTGCAGATGAAGTAAATTCTTCTTAAATTATGCCTCCCCACCACCACCAAGTTCCTGAGGGATGTTGTTTCTCTTGAGATTCCCCTGCAGCTTCTTGACTCACTGATGCCAGCAATGGAGTTCTGTTGCTCCTCTAAAGCAGGCAAAGGCTTTGCAATGTCATCTCTCAGTTGCTGGGGATTAACACTAGCCGAGATAGGCAATTGATAGCCTCTGAACACTCTGGAGACAGCAACCTGAGAAGAAAAGGCAACATATTATCAATTGAAATAATGTGGGGATAGGTGTATCATCCACCTTCTGTTGGCATTTTGAACCCTAGGAAGCCTACAAGCAATTATTTATGAATTTGTAGCTGTGTTAATAAATCAAAAGGCAGCCATCATGGATTGAAACAGGAGTCTGACTATGTACACACACACACAAATATTAACTACATGTTTTGTTTAACACATGTAAATGTACTCTTTCTTTCTTTCTTGAGTTAAATCCCAGTCTTCCCCCAAAGAGTGCAGGACAACATACATGTTTTTGTTGTTGTTGTTCTTTTCTCCCTTTTGATTTTCACAGCAAAACTGAGATGTAGATTTGGTTCAGAATAGTTACTACAAGGGGAAGCAGACGAGGGCGTCCAGGACGCCCTGGGACAGTGCACCGTGGGACTGCGGCATCCGCACCGAGGCACACCGTCGGCACCTCTGAAAGGAGGGCTAAATCAGCGCTCCTTTCACAAGTCAGTGAAAGTGCACCCTAAAAGCGTAGGGTGCACTTTCACTGACTTATCCGCCGCAGCGTGTGCGGACGCTGCGGCGGGAGGCTGCCCCCGGAGCGCCGGCCATGCAGAGGGCTGGCGGCTCCGAGGGCAACCTCAGGAGGAGGAAGGGGCGCCGAGCGTGCGGTTGCCCCTCCTCTTCCCTGTCTCGGAGACGACTCTATTAGTCGTCTGCCGAGGCCCTACATCACATGGTGATGCAAGTACAGCATACTTCTTTCCAAATGAGGGAAGGTGTATTTATTATAGCACTAGGCTGGAGGAAGCCAATGAAGATCAGTCAGATTACTCACTGCCTATAGCATAGGAGAGCAAGATCAACTGCAACTTCCATCAACCATAATTGCCAATGGTGAAGGATGATGGTAGTTACAGTCCAACCATGCCTGGAGAGTCACAGATTGCTAAGCCCCGGCCTATACAATGCTTCATGAGTTCTTGGAGCAACATGCAAGGAAACATCTGAAACAGAACTTGGAGGCAAGTAGTTAAAAAAATGACTGAAGTGCTCTCAGTGTACAACACAAAGGGCCTTTGCAGACTGCCAGAAATAGTGCACATTAAATTGAGGCACTGCCCTGGCTCAGTGCTAGGGAGTCATGGGAATTGTATTTTTTTCTGGGACATTGAGCCTTTTCTGTCAGAGAGCTCTGGTGCCACAATAAATTACAGTTCCCATGATTCCATAGCA